GGAAAGGGAACAGATGTCAAGCCCAAGGGGTAGTTGAGGACTATTTAGTAAAAGTGCGGACGGGGTTGGAGAAACTAACAAGGGATGGTGGTGAGACATCTCAAGGCTAGCAACAGTGGGGAGCTGATACCACCCCCGGCCTGAAGAGGCAGAGGGAGGAGGCAGTTCATGGAGCCCTGAGGTTGCAGGGAAAGGAGAAGCCCGCTGATAGGAGCTTGGGCCTTTGATGGAGGGACGCAGATGACTCAACAGCTCCCTCTTCCTGTCCTCCAGTCTCCTGCCAGCACCTTCCATTGTCTGGACCAGACCCAGAGGACAAAAGAGCCCAGGGGTGCTTTCATCAGTTCAGCCAGTGGAGCAGAGGAGATGGAGGGCACCCGGGGGACTGATTCCCAGTTCCTGCTGCCACACTCCCCCTGCTGGCTGTGGACTCAGGAGGCTTTGTCTTCTTGGCAAGAGGACCCCTGGTGACCAGATCTGTGCCTGGAATCTAGTAGGTGTTCGACAAATATTGGTTGAGTGTGTATGTGCCAGGAGGGCAGAGAGGTGAGAGCAGGGGAAGGAGGGGACTTCATACCTTCAGCTCCTAAGTCACCATTGTCCTCCAGAGCAGCAGGGGCTGGGGGTGGAGGTGGGATTTCCCTCCCACCTTGCTCAGCCCCAGGAAGTCTCCTGCCCCTCCCACCCCGTCCCTCCTCCAAGCCATTGCCCAACCGTGGCAGTGGCTTCCTTGGGGCAAGAGCCACCTTCATGCCATCCACACCCTGGGTCCCTTCAGGGGCTTCTTGGTGTCATTGCAGGGTAGATAGGGCACTGTCTGATCCCTGAGGCTGGGCTATCCCATCTGAGAGGGATGAAGCTTGGGAACTTCAGGGCGATGAGGCACCAATAAGTCTGGGACTTTAGATCACTGTGAACATTGGCACCTTAAAGGCACTGAGAAGTCCTGCAGGAAAGATCCATTTGAACTCTGTTTAATTTTGTATTTCCCAATCCCACTGGACCTTTGATTCTTTATTGAGTGCCTACTGGGTTCTGTGTGAGAGCTGAGCTCCCAGCATTGAGCCAAGCAGGGTCTCCATCCTCGTGGCTCACTTATCATAGAACATCAATTCATATTCTCTGAACGCTGCTCTTCAGAATCAGGATCTGAACGTTGCTGCTAGGCTTCTCTGGACACACAGAGGGGCCGGCCTCCAGACATGCCCTTTATGCGTGTCAGGGTCAGAAGAGTCAAGACATTTGAAGCATCTTTAGCTCCGTTCATTCACTTGTTGCCTCTTTTAATGTAATGTGTATATATGCACATTTTAAAAATTAATTAATTACTTAAATTTTTTGTGGGGGAGGTAAGTAGGTTTTATTTATTTAAATGGAAGTACTGGGGATTGAACCCAGGACCACATGCATGCTAAGCACACACCCTACCACCGAGCTATACCCTCCCTGCTAATGTAATATGTATATTGAGCACATACTATGTACTACTCCCCTTCTGGCATTGGGGATTCAAACATAACCCTCTGGAGCTTCCCATCAGAGGGTAACTAGGAATAATGAAAGCATTCTCCCCTAAGAAAAGGCTCCCCAGCCGCCCAGCCTCCCTGCCCTCCCCAGGCCGACCTCCCAATTCTCCGTGCTCTCCTGCACACCCGAATCTTTACCGCCAGTTCAGGATGTGGCTTGCTTTGCTTTACCCTGAGGCCTGCTGTAGATCCGGCCCCTCTGGCTTCTCTGGCCAGCTCCCTCTTCCCAGGGGAAAGGGATTTTGCTCCAGCTGCTCTGAGGCCAGAAACTCCCAGAGGATTAATCAGTGGCACAGCTGATGGCGAGGCCACAAGGCCTTGGGGGTAAAACCACATGACAGGGGTTGTGATGGGAGAGTGGTCCCAGAGGATCCCGCTCCCTTGGGATGGAGCAGAGGGCTGGGGTGGCTGCGTGTCTGTCTGCAGAGCTGGCAGAGAGGCTGGGATGTGCTCAGGGCCACTTGGATAAAGGCTAGGGGGCTCATCGTGTGACATTAGGGGGCCAGGCGGTGACAAATGCGGGGCATGGTCCTTGAGTGGTCTTAATTTCCCATCTGTCAGAGAGAAGAGATGGACTGGACCATCTTTTAGGCTCTGTCTGTTTCAGACAAGCTACAGTGGGATCTGGGAAGTCCTGACCGGCCCCTCCTGCTCCTAGCCACCTCCTTGGCCTCTCCCTCTTTCTTCCTCAGTTCAGGGTCGGGGAAATGGCTCTGAGCTTCAAAGCTGAGTAAATAAACATGTCCGGGCTCATAGGGAACAGTGGGTAATGGAGGGCACTGCTATTTTTATCACACTTGGAAGGATTTTCACAGCAGCTTCTGTTCCACACACTCCCACGCGGGCCCAGGCCACTGGAGTAGCCCCCATCACTGTGGGTGTGATCCGAGGGGCTGCACCCCTAAAAGAAAACCTGCCCAGTTGACGCCTGACATTCCACCTGGGGGGGTCTGATGGAAGCAGCTAAGGACAGCCCCCTCCCATGCTTGCAGAACGTAGGAGCCCCAGAAGGGTGGCCCCACCCTGAGTCAGGAACACTAGCAGGAAGGAGTCTGGTGATCCTTAGAGCCCTGGGCAATGAGGAGAGACCAGCCTTGCTCAGGAAAGTCTGAGGAGCCAGTTTGCCTTACTCAGCAAATGTTCGTTGAGCCCCTACAAAATGTCAGCCCTGGGCTGGGAGGCTGTTTCCAATAGCCAACAAAGGTGTGCAAAGTCTTTTCTGCAGAATAATGTGGATTAAATTCACTGACTTGGTGCCAGGCACTGTGCCTCACACTTCACTAAGGCAATCTGGGGTATTGCTCTGTCTCCAAAATACACCCTGATCCCACCCATCTCTCTCCATTTCTGACTCTGCAATCCCAGGCCAAGCCCCACCTGCAACCTCTGCTTTGCCCGGGCAACTGAAATAGCTCCAGCTGGTCCCCCTCACACTCTCCCCACAGTCCTTCACATAGTACCTGGGAAGAGATCTTTAGAAAGTATAAGTGAGATTCCAGGTGCTTCCCCTACTTTAATCGCCACCGCCACCCGCTAAGGTTTTCTCTTGTACTTCGAATAAAGATCCAACTCCTATTGCCCGGACCTGCAAAAAAACCCAACAGGGTCTGCTTCCCCCACCACTTTCTCTCTATTTCTTATTCTCTCTCTCTCTCTATCTGGATTTCAGATAACAGAATTGGATTAATCATAATCCTCGGTCCATGACACACTCTCATCATTGTTTAAATTATCATTACTCCGCACATGGGCCACTTTTATTTATTAGACGTTCAGTTATTTTAGATAATGCAGTTGGCACCTTCAAAGCCACAGCTAAGCTATGACACAGGTGAATCTCAAAAGCATATGCTAAGTGAAAAACACCCAGAAACAGAAGGTATATACTATATGCTTCCATTTGTATGTAAACATTCTAGAAAAGGCAAGAGCAAAGAAAGCAGATGACTAGTTGCTGGGAGTGGCGGGGGAGCAGGTGTGTGGGTGGGATAGAATGTGACAAGAAATCTTGGGGGTAATGAAAATGTTCCGTGATTGTGGTGGTGGTTACATGACTGTATACATTTGTCAAAATGTATTAATTTTACAATAAAAACTAGTAAATTTTATTATATGTCAATTAACCTTCAGAAAAGCTAAAACCAAACAAAAAACTACCAAACAAAGCTAGAAGCTCTAGCAACATCTAATCTATCCTCTTTGCCTCCAGCCCAGACTTAAGCTAACCATGATCCGGAATCCTATGTTCATCACACCTTTGCTTGCCATTTTATACAGTTTTATTCACCTACTTGTAGTCCTTAGAAGCTATATTTTTAAATTTAAATGATTTTTTATTCTATAAAGAGAGTATTAAACTGCATTTAATCTTCTGATGCCTTTTTTTCTTCTTTATTTATATTCCGAGGTATTATCTGCATTGTGGCTTGTCACTGCAATTCACTCCTTTTGACTGTTGGTTAATATTCCATTATGTGACTATACTACACATATTCATTCATTTGCCTTGATGGACATCTGTACTGTTTCTAGATTTTTGCTATTGAGGATTGAGGACAGGGCTGCTGGGAAGACTCTTGTTCGTGTTCCCTGGGGCATATGTGCACAATTTTCTTGAGGGTTCATACCTAGGAGTGGAACTGCTGGATTACACGTGAATTCAGCTTTAGGTGTCACTTCTTTGACCTCATCCCTCACCACTTTTTACTTTGACTACCGTGCTTCAGTCTCACTTATCTCCTCTCCTTGAAGAAGCCAAGCCCTTTCCAGCCTCCAGACCTTTGTACCTGCTGTCCTTTCTACCTGGAAAGCTTTTCCTTCAGGGCTTCCCATGGCTGGCTTTTACTTACCCTTTAGAACTCAATCGAACACTACCTCCTCAGCCCAAAAGTCACTGTCTCTGGCCCCTGGTCTAAAGGAGTCTCTCCTCTTCCCACCCCAGTCACTTCCACCACACATCACCTACCACCATCATCAGAGATAGTCTTTCCTTATTTTTGTTGATTTGTCATTGTCTCTCCTGTTAGACTCAAGCTCCAGGAGAGCTGGGACCATGTCTGCATCCCCCCAAACATCTTGATATAGAGAGTGTGCTCAACAACAACAAAAAATTTTATTGAGGTAGATACTAATATTAATCCTACGTTAGAAAGGAGAAATCTGAGGCTCATAGAGGTTAAACCACGTGCCCAAGGACGCAGAGCTTGGAGGTGGCAGAGCCAGGATTTGAACCTAGATGTGACCAATCCCAGAGCCATGTTCTTCCCTGGAACATGACTGACTTGTTCTGATGTGAACTTTCCTTCCTCCTCTCCCATTATCAGCTTGCCATTCAATGCCACCTGTGGAGCCCCACCCACATTGGAGGGAACCCTGGGTCCTGTGGTTGGCTGTCACTCCCCCATCTGCAGTGGGTGAGGGCTGTGGCCTTGGGCCATGGGAGACCTGGTGTTCCACCACCTGTTCCGGGAATGGGGCCCAGTCTGACCCCCACCCCCCGTTTCCCACCCTATATTAGAGCCCTAGGCTATGTATCTCTTTCTTATCGCCTCAAAACTCACGATGATCCGGCTGCTGAGTTTTCTCCTATTTGTGGCCCTTGGTAAGCCCCCAACCTGCTCTGCACTGGGCCAGAAGCCTGTGAAATCTGCCACCCACCCTGAGTCTCTCAAACCCAATACCTACTTCCATGGGGGAGCTCTCAGCTTGTGTCTGGGGCATGATTGTGGAGGCTTCTGGATTGGTGCTAGAGCAGGAGAATGGAGGGGAAGCTGTGGGTGGCGGACCAGCTCAGGAGGAAGACTGGGGGACCCAGAGCTCTGTGGTGGGAGTCCTTGATGGGGGCAGTGAACAAAGTCTGATGGGAAAGAGTTTGGGCTCTGTGGTTAGACTGCTTCGGTTAGAACTTCTTTCCCTCTGCTTAACCCTCCAACTCTCCTCTCACACTCTCCTACTGCGCTCCATATCCTGAGGTCTACTCTTTTCCTGGTCTTTCTGCCATAGCACATTACGGCTCTCGGCCACCTTCCCCAAGCAGCCTCCCTTGACTGACAGTGATTAATGGTAACAGATAATGTTAATTGAATTCTTACTAACTATATCCCAGGCAGAATGTCAAGGATTTTTTTTTCTTGTATTATCTATATAGTCCTCACAATGGCCCCAAGAGGTTAGTACTATTATTATCCCCAATTATAAATGGAGAAACTGACCCTCAGAGAAGTACAGTAGCTCATCCTAGAGCCAGGGGAAGGGCTACACTTTGAACCTAGGCAGTCTTCCTCCAAATCCACTATTCTTCGTGGCAATAGCTGTCACTTCTCGAAGGATCATTGGGTGCCAGGTATTGTTCTGAGTGCATCAACCCCTTCTTTCCTGCCATGGAAGGAGACCACATGTTCATCTCCATCCCTAGACTCCCGGGACTCTAGAAATCCCTGCTCTAGTCCAAAGGCTCACTGTTCATTTGTAGTTACTGAGTTCAGAGCGGGGAAGGGGCTTGCGTGGGCTCACACAGCCTGCCTGTCTGTGGCACAGCTGCGGGTGGGACCCTGGCCTCTTCTTTGTTTTTGGGGACCCCTGCCTGGCTGACACTTCTTCTCTCCTCTGTAGCCTCAGGCTGTGGCCAACCTTCCTACCACCCCTCCACCCGAGTTGTCAATGGTGAGGACGCGGTCCCCTACAGCTGGCCTTGGCAGGTAAGCGCAATACTAGCTGCACCATTTCCCACCATGAGCTCTGCACCCCGTGCTCTGACTGCAAGGCATCCAGCCTTGGCCCCACTGCTTCGTTTCCAGTATCCGCTTCAGCTTCTCCAGACCAGGAAACTCTTGGACAATCTACTTCATGTGGAAATTTTGTCTGTTCAGTCTGGAACCCTGGCTGGTCTGTTTGCAAGTTAAAAGTAGAATCTGGGAAGAAGACAATGTTTAACTGAAGAGTTGGTACACCAGTGGTGGAATTTCAGCACTGTGTTTAGGCAGGGAGATTTGAGGGACTCACTTCTAGACTCCTCAAATTATACAACAGAGCTATAATTTCTGAGAGCAATCAAGGGATGACAGGCTTTAGAGAGGTGAGTGGATGGAGGCACAAAGGGCTAGACTCATTGCAGTAACACAGTAGCCACTAGCCTCATGTGCCCATCTAAATTTAAATTAATTAAAGTTACAAAATGTTAGAAATTCAGTTGTTCAGTGCTTAGTCACATTTCAAATTCTCAATAGCTGCATATGGCTAGTGGCTACAATACTGGACAGCGAAGATATAGAACATTTCCATCATTACAGAAAGTTCTAAGAGATGGCCCTTGTCCACAGTAAAGATCAGCAAATCTGTGTAAAGGATGAGCTAGTAAATATTTTAGCCTTTGTTGGCCATGTGGTTTCTATTGCAGTGACTGGATTCTGCCATTGTAGCATGAAAGCAGTCATAGATGGTACAGCTGTGTAGGTTGGGCACTGCACATTTCCAGAAGCTGCCATTCTGTGTGAGTGATGCCCTCTAGAGTTGTACAGTGCACAACCTATACAGCCATGGGTAGCAACCCTCACCACAGGGCCCACACAACTCAGGTTCCTCCCTGCCTTGCCACCAGGTCTCCCTGCAGTATGAAAAGAACGGAGCCTACAGCCACACCTGTGGAGGCAGCCTCATCGCCCCTGACTGGGTCGTAACTGCAGGCCACTGTGTCTCGTGAGTTCTCTCACTTGTTCCTGCCCCTGGGTGAGACCCAGGCAGGCTGGGGCAGTGGGTGACTGTGGGAGGGAAAGGAGGGAGGCCAGTCAGGCCTGGACTGACCTCACCTCCACCGGCAGGAGCTCCCGGACCTACCAGGTTGTTCTGGGCGAGTATGACCGGGGAGAGGAAGAGGGCCCCGAACAGGTGATCCCCATCAATGCTGGGGACCTCTTCGTGCACCCACTCTGGAACTCCAACTGCGTGGCCTGTGGGTGAGTGAACTTGCAGGCCTGGGACCCAGTGACTCCTCTACTGGTCCCTCTGTGACCCCATACTGATTCTGAGCAGTCTGAGCGCAGGTCCCATATGCTGAGGGTCAGAATCAGCAGAGCCTTTGAGGATCATCTGCATCAAACCTCTCTTCCATGGAGGGGACAGCAGGGCATAGGGAGGGGCAGGAACTCTCCCAAGGCCACTCAGCTGGTTGGCTTCAGAACCCAAGACTCCTCGGGCACCCCCACTCCCAAATCCAAGGTTTCTTCCATTCAACAGATGTTCATTCAGAGCACCCTGGGTTACTGGCTTGTGGACAAAAGGAGGAGCACTGGACTGAGAGTCAGGCTCCAGGACTAAGTTGCTGTATGGCTTGAGCAAGTCAAAGTCATTGCCTTTCTCGAGGCCTCAATCTGACCACTTGTCAAGGATGACTTTGTGGGTGGTTGTGAGGGTCAAGGAGGCAATCACTGGGTGAGAACACCAAGCAAGGCTTCTTAAGCCCCTCAAGCATATGCAAAATTGTGTGCCAGCATTTTTTTCTGGTGAGAGGGTCAAAGAAGGGTGCAGAATCCTGAAAGTGCAGTGCAGGAGTGAGGGACCATAATGATCAAGACTTTGACCCATCCTTACAGAGCTCCTGGGGTAGGTGGAGAGAAAATCAGACCCAGACAGAATGACTTGAGTGGCAAGCAGGAGATGGAGACAAAGCAGTGGTCCTCAAAGTGTGAGAAGGCTAGAGCAGCAACATCGCCCAGACACGCATTAGAAATGTGAATCCTTGGGGCTTCCCTGACCCACTGCATCAGAAGCTCTGAAGGGCTCCAGCAAGGAGGGAGTGTTTGTGTTTTAACAAGCCCTCCAGCGATTCCGGTGCAGCTGGTGTGTGAAAACCACTAATGTAAATTAAGCTGAAAACAATTATGAAGGGCAAGGGTCAGCATGGGCTGAAGGGGCCAGGAGGGCTTCCTAAAGTTGTTCAGCAATAAGGATGCATAGGATCTGGAGAGAGGTGGAGCAGCGGGCGCATCCTGAGCAAGCTGGGGTGGGTGGGGCTTGGTCTGGCTGGAGGACCAGGCTCCTCATGACCTCTTCCCTCCTCCCCAGCAATGACATCGCCCTCATCAAGCTCTCACGCAGCGCCCAGTTGGGAGACAAGGTCCAGCTCGCCTGCCTCCCTCCCGCCGGTGACATCTTGCCCAATGAGACACCCTGCTACATCAGCGGCTGGGGCCGTCTCTACAGTATGTGCTGAGCCCTCTAGCCGGCCAAAGGGACACTGGGCAGGAAGACAGAGCCTGGGGCAGGGGGCTGAGGGCAACACCACAAAGATCTTTGCACTTTTCTCCCATTCCTCCTCCAGCAGCAGCCTTCTCCCCTCATCCTCCCAAGCCTGAATGTGTTTGATGGAAAGTTTCTTAATGTCTTCTGTGTGCCAGGAGCTGGAGACATTCTGATGGACAAAGCAGGCAGGACCATATAAGCTGGTGGGAGGAGAGTTCCCATCAGACTAGAAGAACTGCCTTTTCTCAAACCCCTCACCCCACTCAGGGACTCCTGGATCCCAGTCCGAGCCCTGTACCCCAATGGCCCCTGCTCAGCCGTCTCTATCCCCACAGCTGGTGGGCCGCTCCCGGACAAGCTGCAGCAGGCCCTGCTGCCCGTGGTGGACTACAAGCACTGCTCACAGTGGGACTGGTGGGGCAGCACCGTGAAGACCACCATGGTGTGCGCCGGCGGGGACACTCGTTCCGGGTGCAATGTGAGTCAGCTCTCACCTGCCCGAGGTGGTGGGGGGCTACAGCCACTCCATGGGAACTGCAGGGCCCTGGGGTACCTCTGCCATCTGCCAGAAAGGCAGAGGAGGATCTTACCTGCTGGCCCCATCCAGCCTCCAGGCCAGACAGGACTTGGAGGAAGTCAGTGCAGCCCAGACACACAACCCTGGTCTCTTGATTTTCATTGCAGCTCACACACTGACTCTATCTGGGCAAGTCTCTGTCCCTCCCTGGTCCTCAGGCTTCCCCATCAGTATAGCAAGGGATATTGACACCATGACATGACCTCCAAAGCCACCTTCAACTCTGGGGTCCTAAAGTTATAATTAAGCAATACTATAATTGTATTATAAGTGAATATGAGTAATAGCATGAATAACTAACTGTGGTACTAATAATGGGAACTACCATTTATTGGTTGCTTCCTCTCTACCAGGCATTGTGCTAAGATCATATATTTATCATCTCATTTAATTCTCACAAAATCCTGTAAGATAGATATCATTCCCCATCACAAAGGAGCACACTGAGGCTTGGAGAGGTCAAGTCACATGGGAGTTTCTCAAAATCCCCAAGGTCATAACCAGTTCCTTGAAGCTCAGTCACGGCTCAGCCTTCTTCTCTCTGATCATTCCAGGGTGACTCTGGAGGACCCCTCAACTGCCCCGCAGAGGACGGCTCCTGGCAGGTCCACGGCGTAACCAGCTTCGTTTCTGCCTTTGGCTGCAACACCCTCAAGAAGCCCACGGTGTTCACACGGATCTCAGCCTTCATTGACTGGATTGAGGAGGTGAGCAGGGCAGGGCGAGCTGCTGGGGCTCCAGGCGCTGGCTCTTTGGAGAGGTGCCTGCAGGATGGGGGAGAACAGCAGATCCTGATCCTAGGAGGTCAGTGGTTGGGAGGTGGCAGGCCCTTGGGGACATTCCAGAGGGGTTTGAGGATGCTTTCTGCTACAGTGTGGCCCCAGGAATCTCAAGGGCTTCTGGGTGAAGCTTTGAACTACTGCTGAACTTCCTTATTTCAACGAGTGTTTCTGAAGTGCCTCCTCTGGTCCAGGTTTTTTCTTATCATGGAGGATAGAGTGACGTGTCAAAGGGCTGCCTTCTGGGGACAGATGACTCAATGAGCAAAATGATGAAGTGTGATAGGTGAAGCTCAGGCCCCAGTGAGAGTACAAACCTCATCGGGGAATGAGTGGTCAGAAAGGATTAATATTATTCATGATAACAGTAGTAGCCATCATTTATAAACTACTTAAACATGTGCACTGTGATGACACCTGAGCTAATAGTTTAATCAGGAACTCCCATGAGCTAAGTACTATGATTACCCACCTTATATAGATGAGGAAATTGAGGCTCAGAGAGGTCTAATCACTCTCCTGTGGTCACATAGCCAATGAGGGACATGGCAGGGACCTGAACTCAGTTCCATATGGCTCCTAACTAGACTATTCTGATTTTCCCCCCTCTTTTTTCAGACCATTGCAAGCCACTAGAATCAAGGCCTGGGTGGCAGTGCCCATCCACATTCTTTGTAAAAAATAAAGATCTCAGAAAATTTCAACTTGAGTCCTACTTCATTCTTTGATTCATCTCTTTTCTCTAGGCCATTCTTAAAATCTTACATGTGATATACAAAGGTAAGACAAGATCGAATCCTCTTAGAATGAGAAAAAAATGAGGCCCAGAGAGAAGGGAGTTGCTGTCCAGTGACCAACTATCCCAGTTTGCCTGGGATTAACAGGACAGGACACAGGACTTTTGGTGGTTAAAACCGGGCGAGTCCCAGGAAGTTGGTCACCCTATATAGCCACACACACAATCATTGGCTTTTCAATGCAGGCAGAAAACCATGGTACAGCCTAAGGAAACAGTGCCCTTGCCAGCCTCTTGGGAGGCTCATGGTAGAGTCGGAAGGGTCATGTGTCTTCTGCTTCCATTGATGGGCTGGGGAAGGAGGATTGCGGTCATTCATGCATTCATTCAACAAACATCCATGCCTTCTTCCTGACGAGGGCTCACGAGGGGAAGACGACATGGTTCCTGCCCTGAAATGGCTCATTATTTAGCTAGAAATGAGCATATCAGAGTCATTCATTAATCCTTTACTAGGTACCTTCTTTGTTGGAAGTTCAGGGCTGGGAAAACAGAGGTAAGTGAGTAGGACAAGCTCAGGGAGAGCCCTTGCTGCAGGGGGGAGCAGACAGACACACAGACGCACACATGATGTGGAGACCCAGGTCAGAGCCCAATGAGCCGTTGTTGAGGTCCAAAAGATTGCTGCCATGCCTCCAAAAGCAACGTAAAAACAACTGAACTCCTTTACTCACATTCCTCCTGAATACCATGAAAGGAAACGTGGTCCCCACAAGGACTAAGCACATATTTTTTAATATTATCGTTGTTCCATTGCCCCCTCCCTTTAAAAATTACATTTCTAGTTTTGAAAAGTTTAAAAGATAAAACATGGAGAATAATATAGGAAACCCCTACATAGCCTCCCTCCAGAATGAACAAATGTCACATTCTGCCCTCATATTTTCTAAAATAATAACTACAGTTAAGGTGGAAGTACAAGAAGACCCCTCTGTATTCCTCCCAGGGGTCTTCATCATCACGGGTGTGGGGTTGTCCACCCAGTATTACTGGTTTTCCTCTGGGGCACATAGCAGGATAGCTGTTGCCTGTCCTCTTGAAGCTGGGCTTGGCTGTGTGGCTTGCTCTGGCCATGCCAAAGGTTTGAAAGACAGGACAATCTGCCAAATTCTCTTTCCCTTTGCCATGGTTACTGGTGACTACAGGTCAGCCTGGTCCCAGAGTGAGGAGATGTGGTGCAGAGCCTCTCTGCTGACAGATGATGGACATGTAGCACAAGCAAGAAACACACTCTTGTTAAAAGCTGCTGAGATTTTGGGTGTTTGTTACAGTGGCATGGACCTACATCTCCTGACTCATAAAACAAGTTTGGTATTTATTCTTTCACTCCATGCTGTTATATTTTTGTCATATATATAGATATTCATAAATAATATATTGCATTATTCTGTTTTTTTTTTAAATAGATACATGGTTTCAAGCCATATGGGTTATTCTGCAACTAGCTTCATTCATCCACTATTATGTTTTTGAGGTCTATCTATGGTGGATCTGTCTGTCTTTAGTTCACTGCTGCCGGTTTTGTGGAGTATTCAGTTGCCCAGCAACACCGGTTATTTATCCTTTCCACCTACTGGTGGACATTTAGAGAAGGGCCAGTTTTTGTGATTACAAATAGTGCTTCAGTGAACATCCTTGGACATATCTCCAGGGGCACATGTGAAAGTTTTCCTAGGGTATGTTCCAAGGAAAGGAATGGCTGAGTGGGAGAGTATGCTCATTTTCAAACTTACCAATGGCCAAACTGCTCTCCAAAGTGATTAAGTCAACAGTGCTTCTTAAAATTCCTTTTTTCTTTTCCCATCTACTGGCTCCACACATTACAACTGCCCCACATTTTTCTCCTAAAACCACTCCTGGAATCTTAACTCTTTCCCCCCCAAACCCTCTCCTCCAACCCTTACCCGCACTCTAGCTCCTATAAAAGCCCAAGAACTGGTGTGGGAAGGCTAGAGTGAAGGGAAAGAAGGAACTGAGTCAAGAAGAGCAGAGACCTCTGTATCACTGGGGTGTAGGGGAAGGTGGGGAGAAAGTCTGGAACCAGCACCTGTTAATCATTTGTATTGAGACAATGCCAGATGACTATGCAACTGTCAGGTGTTCCCAAGGCCCTGCAGTATCTCCTTCCTCCCAGCAGGTCAGGGAAGGGCCCTTGGACAATTTTCCAAAATAGTTTTAGGATAAAGGGCAGTCAAACATGTAAAATTCCACACTGTGGTTGGGCAATGGGCCTTCAAGTGTCCTCACCCAGCTTTAGGGGGAGGCTGAGAGCTGCTATGACACCCTTCTCATGCATGGCCAACAGGGAGTTAGGAATCTTGGCTAAAAGTGCTAAAAATCCCATCAATAATTCCATTTTCTTTTTCAAAGTTTCCGAGTATCAAGAATTCAAATCCTTTACAAACTACACAGTCAAAAATTTAATTTTTTGAGTAATGATTATAGTATAAACACCAATAATTTTTGTTTTTGTTTTCTAAATTATGAAGAACAATCCACCTTTTGAAGATGCACACTGTTAATACTTCAATTTTCTCTTAAAAGTGATAAAGGATTATCCCTGCAATGCTCTTTTTAATCACATAATGTCAACAACTTAGTTCTCATTTTTAAATCATTAAAGTGTAAATTTTCATTTTTTTCAAGTATACTTTAACTAAAAAAATTTTTTTTTGTTAATTAAAAAAAAACTATGGTCACCTTAAAAAATTCACTTAAAAAAACTGAAGTATGGTAGATATACAATGTTGTGCTAGTTTCTGGGTGTACAGCATAGTGATTCAGTTATATGTACATATTCTTTTTCACTATAGGTTATTATAAGCTATTGAACGTAGTTCCCCATACTATACAGTAGGACCTTGTTGTTTATAAAAATCACCTTTTTTTAAATCATAAGAGTCAAAATTCCATTCTCTTTTCCTTTTTCAGAACATTAACATTGGCTATTGTTTTTTTTTTGAATTTTGAAATTTTGAAAATTCTGGTTTGGGAAAGACTTGTAAAAATCACCCACATTCTCACCTCTCTTACATAGCTACTTCTGTCATTTTGATATGCTTCCATCCACTTTTTCTTTTCTACCCACTTCTTTTTCTTTCCATTTAGAAAACCTATAAACAGCTAGACTCAATGGACATGGAATGAGCACCTACTGGTATTATGTGCCAGGCATGTGCAGAGAAAAATTACCCCAACTCAGGCCAGGCCCTCAAGAGGCCACAGTCTGAAAGGGAAGCAGGGATGGCGACTTGAGCTCAGTGTTCCAATGGAGACCCAGAGTGGTGTGGGGCCCAGGAAGCTGGGGTCAATTTGGGATGGGAAGACTGGAGAGCTCAGTGGCCGTCAAATCCAAATGATTAAGGAGGCATCAAGGGATTCTTGTCAAATGTGAATCTGTATTTGTAGCAACA